GCCGGGGGGGGGGGGGAGGGGAATCTAGGCCAGGAGGAGGAGCGGGGGCCCTGGGGAGGGAAGCTGGGTCAGATGGGGTGGGAGCTTTGGGAACACGGAGCCTTATTGAGAGCAGCACCAGGGGGGAAGCACATCCATGGGAGGGGGGGGGGGGCAGGGGGTGTCCCCAGGCAGGGGACAGGGTGAATGTTAACAAACTTTATTCAATAAATAACGATGGTGTTAAGAATGGCAACGTTTCACGCTGTGGGTTACAGCAGAGCTGGAGCTTTCTCGCTGTTTGGCTTCAACCCCAGGTGCTGCAGGAGGGCGCCGAGCTCTGGGGGCACCTCGGGGAGGGACAGCAGGATCTGGGAAACAGGAGCAGGGTTAGGAGATTGGAGGTACTGCTGCAGCTCCCAGAGGGACAGGAGCAAAGATGCCGGGATCACCTCACCTCCTTCACTGTCTCCCGCAGCTCCTCGTGGTTCCGCAGCATCTTTTGTGCATGGCTGAGCCTCAGCTCCAACCCTCGCACCTGCAATGGGGGGAGGCCATAAGGACACAGCCCTGGGAAGAGGGAGCACCGGAGTGTCTCCCCCCTACCCCATACCTGCTCCAGGTAATTCCCTGACACCACCACATTCTCATCCTCCTTCTCCAGCAGCAGCAAGCGCAGCTTATCCACCTGCAAGCAGAGCAAGGATGGGCGCTCTGCACTCCTACCTGCACCAAGGGGCTGCAGGAGGACCAGGCCCCACAACCCCGACCTCATACCCACCTCCTGCCGCAGCAGGACGCGCTCCTGCACGTGGGCCGAGACCCCCTTGGCCTCCTGTCCTCTCATCTCCTCCCACAGCACCTTGGCCTCGGTCTCTGCACGCTGCAGCGAGCGCTTCAGCTGGGTCACCTCCTCCTGCAGCCTCTGCAAAGGGAGGCAGTGGGGCGGTGAGGGGGGTCCCATTGCTGTCCCCCCCCCCTCCCAGGGTGTGGGTTACTACCCCGCTGTAGCCCTGCACGTACCGTCACCTCCTCACTCTTGTCAATGAGTTGCAGCATCTTCGCTTCCTGCTGTTTCACAACGTCCTGCAGCTCCTTCTCGTTCTGCAGGGTCAGGGAGCGGGGTCAAGCTATGCCCCCCCCCCTCCACACCCCAATGGCACCCTCACATTTGAGGTCACCCAGATCCTGCTGTCCCAGATCCCAGCCCAACCCAGTTCAGCTCTGCCCTGGCCCAGTTCTGGGGTGGGGGGAGGCCTCACCTGCAGCTTGCCCTGCAGCGCCTTGTTCAGCTTAGCAATGCTGGCAGCCTGGGCATCCATCCGCTCCTGGCTCTCAGTTGTCACCTTCTCCAGCTGAAGCTGCAGGTCACAGCTGGATGGGGGGAGGGAGAGGGGACACAATGGGGCTGAACAGGTGGAAGATCACAGTGCATCAAAACCCCTCATATGGCTGTCCCCATTTGGGAAGGTCAACCCGTGCCCACCAGCTCACTTTGGAGCAGCAGCAGGGCAAAGGGAAGTGTCCATGCCCCCATTACCAAATTCCATGTAAGCCCCCCCCCCCCCCCCCCCCCCAAGACCCAAACCTCCCCACTGCATCCCCCCTGGACTCACATCTCTGCCTGCAGCGCCCTGAACTCGCTCTGCTCCAACTCTTGGATGCGGGAGCTCAGCACAGAGAGGTCAGACACCACGGCCCGCAGCTCAGCTGCCTGCTCCATCAGACCATCCTCGGGCTCTGCGGGCGGGGGGCTGCTCAGCAGGGTGGTGGGGGGACACGCTGAGGATGTGAGGGGCAGGGACAGTGTGATACCTGGGGGCTTCGGTGTGGATACAGCCCTATCCCTGGCAGATAGGCTCTCACATCCAGTGCCTTCATCGCCATCTGCAGAAGGGCAGAGTGCACGGAGGGGAGTCCAGGAAGAGATGTCCCCCCTACAGCCTAGGGGGTCCAAGACCAGCCCCACAACCTGGGGACCCCCAGAGCCTCACCTCTTCCTGACACCGCCTTCAAAACACTGCCTACAAAGGACCCCCTGGCACGGTGCGGTGTGTGGCGGGCAGGTGTGCGGCACACGGGGGTCCAAGCACTGCTGTGGGGGGTCCAGGGCCCACGGGGGGTCCTCCAGCCTGGGGTCCAGGTCTTGCTCCTTGATGGAACCTCATCATCATCATCCTATGGGAAGGAGGGGATGTAGCGCTGGGGGTGCTCCGATGGCACGTGTGCCCTCTTGCCCCCATAAGAGGGTCCCCACCTGCTGAGGCAGGGCGGCTCGCAGGCAGTCAGCCAGCTTCTGCAGCCTCGCCTTGCTCTCAGCAATGCCTGCTGAGCACCAGGACACCCTGTCCCTCTTGAGCTGCAGGTCCTGCAGCTCCGCCTTGGTGCTCTCCAGCTCCTTTTGCAAGGCCGCTCGTTCCTCCCTGCAGGGGGGAAAACAATGTGAGCAACTCATCCCAACCCGGAGGCAGGACAGGTTGGGGCGGGACTTGATTTGCTTTAAGGCTTTCTCCAACCTCAACGACCCCACGCTCCCACCACGACCACCTCCACCCATGCCCCAAAGGGTGCAAAACCGGCACTACTGAGTTCCCCAACCTGAATTACTGCCCTCAGCCGGAGCTGCTTTGCCTAAAGCTGTGCCTCCCTCCCCCCATGCACGCAATGGGACTGCGTGCCCAACCCCAAGGGCTCGGGTAGCAGGAGGAAGCACAAAGTCATACTGCAGGCCTTGGTGGGCTTCTAGCAACTCCTCGTGCTGCAGGCTGCACTCCTGCAGCTCAGCCAATGTGGATTGCAGCTTGGCTTCCACCTCCATCAGCTGCCGGCGGGACATGCGGTTCTCCTGGTCCAGAAACTGCAGGATAGGGTAGGAGGGGGGAAACAATACACACGGCCATGAGCAACCCCTGCATGGTCCTATTCAACCAAGGGCAGCCAGCCAATCCCCCCAAAAGCATGGGACATGCACGACACACACAGCTGGGGGAATTATCCTGAGCATCACTGTGAGTGCAGCCCTACGTGCGGGCTGTCAGCGCCGCGGGCTGCTGGCTCTGCTGGCCGGCTGCCACCTACCAGTGGGGACATGTGACACCGTGCCACGTGCCGTGCGCCCTGGCTCTTACCTCCCGGCACTCTGCTGCTTCCTGCAGCTCCTGGCGCTCCCGCTGCAGAGCATCCCGCTCCTTGGTCAGCCTGACGCCAAGGGATGGATGGGGATAAGCCGTGGGGGGAAAGGGGGATCACCCCAAGGGATGGGCTGGGGGTGTTGAGAGGGGCTTTGATGGGGCAGGGCGAGGTGCCAGGGGTGCAGACCCACCGGCTCATCATCTCCTTCTGCTCCTCATAGTCCTGCTGCAGCGCGTCCTGCTCCTGCTGCAGGCTAGCCAGCTGCTTCATCACCGTGCTCAGGTCTGTAGGTGAAGAGCTGTGAGCACAGAGACACTCCACACTCCACTGCCACCCCCCTATTGTGCCCTTCCCCCTCCCCACTACCTGTGCTGAGGCGTGAGTTGGTGACTGCCAGCTGCTCCCCCTGGGTCACCGCATCCTGCAGAGCCTGCAGGGTTTCCTCCAGCTGCTGGGACACCTACATAGATGCGGGGTTAACCCAGAGGATCCCACACATCAGAGAGCACTCGTGTGCTCCGTTCCCCATGCCCTCCATAGGACAGCCCCCACAAATCCCCTTCCGTATCTGGAATCGCTGAGGTGCACTGGGTGGCCCCATTACCTCCTTCTTGGCTTGGAGGGCTTCCTCCACCTGTTGCAGTGCAGCATCCCGCTCCTGCAGGCAGCTGTGCAGCTTGGTGGGGACGTCCCGCAGCGCAGTCATGCAGCGAGACACCAGGGCACGCACCTGCTCCCTCTACAAAGGGACAGGACAGCCCCAGGGTGAGCTGAGTGCTGGTGACATGGGTGGCACCCAGTGTCGGGACAGCCCTCACCTCTCCATCCAGCGCTCCTCGCTCCTCCTGGAGGTTGGCAAAGGTCACGTCTATGAATTCCCGGAAGGGCTGAGCCTCTGCAGCCAGGGACACCTAGAGGAGAGGAAAGCAGGGAGCGTTGCCACGGGGGTTGCTTGGAGCACAGCCCTAAGCCAGGGCTACGAACCCCGCAGGGTGTGGAGGACACAGCATACCTGCTGTTGGACAGCAGCTGCCAGCAGCGCGCTCAGCTCCTGCTGCAGCTCCAGGCTCTGCGTGCGGGCACCAATCTGGGCAGCAGCGTGGGAACGGAACGCCTCCAGGAAAGCATCGCTCTGCAAAAAGGGGTGGCACAGCTCAGGGCACATCACCCCCCATCCCTGGGTGGGGATAGCAGCGTCCCACGTGGGACACGTTACCTCCTGCTTAGCACGAAGGGCTTCATCCGCATGTTGCTGTGCAGCATCCCGCTCCTGCAGGCAGCTCTGCAGCTTTCCGGGCACAGCACGCAGCACCGCCTCGCACCGGGACACCATGGCACGCACCTGCAGCCGCTGCAAAGGGACGGCAGCCCTCCTCCAGCTGCCATCTGCCACCTCCCTCACCCACATCCCCAGAGCCACCTCCGTGCCCCTGCACTCACCTCCTGCTCCAGTGCTGCGTGGTCTTTCTTCATGCCCTGCAGAGCGGTGTCTGCAACATCCCACAGCGCACGGCGCTGCCCAGTCCATGCATCCTGAGGAAGGGATGATGAGGGCACCGATGGCACTGGGGGTGGCAGTGCCCAAATCCCATACACCTCAACGCACCATTGCCTCTGCTGCCCGCACCAGCTGCCGTGCCAACTCCTGCTCTGCTCCATGCTGCCGTTGCACAGCCTGCGCCTTCCTCCGCAGCTCCACGTAGAGGTCGTGGTAAATCCCCTCCTCCTAAAGGCAGGGCAGGATGTGCCCCAACAGCACTTCTACACAGCACTCCAACCCCGTGCCATGCGCCATGCTGATCCCAAGCCCTTCCTGCACGCGGTGGGATGCAGCCCTGCAGGAGGGGACACTCACTCACCCCCTGGGGCCGAGTGACATCAGTCTGAGTGTGTGCATCCCTCTGCCCTGCTGGCCCCACAGCAGGGAGTGGGTGCTGGCAGTCCTGCCAGTCACGCAGCTGCAGTGAGAGGGCCTCAATGATGATCAGGGTGCTCTCCAGCCGTCCCTCCAGCTCTGCTCGCGGCAGCAAACGCAGCTGCTCCCGGGGACAGCTGTGGACAGAGGGAACCCTGGTGGCTGGGAATGGGACATGGCCTGGGAGCCCATCCCCATACCCAGCAGGGACACGTACTGCCAGAGCAGAGAGTCGGTCTCAGCAGCGCTGTCCTTGGCACCACCAGGTATGGATGTGCCAGCACTCCTCTCCTCCGGGGTCATGGTGGTGCCCATAGATACGGTGAGCACTGGGGTGACACTGGTGCCTATAGCCATGGTGGGCACTGGGGTGACACTGGTGCCAATGGATCCAGTGGATACTGGGGTGACACTGGTGCCAATGGATCCAGTGGATATCGGGGTGACATTGGTGGCAATGGATCCAGTGGGCACTGGGGTGACACTGGTGCCAATGGATCCAGTGGATATCGGGGTGACATTGGTGGCAATGGATCCAGTGGGCACTGGGGTGACGGTGGTGCCTGCAGCCATGGTTGGCACTGGGGTGACGCTGCTCCCCACAGGTACAGTGGACACTGGGGTTACAGTGGTACCCATAGACACAGTGGGCACTGGGGTGACACCAGTTCTGACAGCTGCAGTAGGCACTGGGGTGACATTGGTGCCAGCATCCCGCCACGACACAGACAGGGGGAGGCTGTGCCGCAGGGACTCCAGCAGGGACGAGGCAGGGAGGGTCCTCTCCAGCCACACCAGTGGCATTATCCAGGACACAGCCCCCAGGGATGGCTCAGACAAAGACACTGGGGTGGCTGCCACTGCTGAGTCTACAGGCTCTGACCCCACTGCCTCAATATGGGGGGAGCACTGCTCTGGTGGGGCAGGGCTTGGGGATCCAGCCATCCCCAAGGTACTGTGATGTGGAGGAGTACCCACATCCCCATTCTCAGCCAGAGGTTGGGAAGCCACGGGGCTGCAGGAGAGATCGGGGGGGGGCGCTCGCCACCTGCGGAATGGAGTATCCTGTGGGGTGGAGGTGCCTGGGGGGCCTGGGGAGGGGCTGCCAGGGGTGTCCAGAGTGCAGGGCCCCACGGAGGTGCTGCCAGCAGGGTCAGGAGTACGCAGCTCCAAGGAAGTGCTGCTGGGGTGGTCTGGAGAGGGAGGCAGTGGGGGGAGGAGGCTGGGAGAGAATGGGAAGGGCACTGGGGCACTGCCATGGGGCTCTTGGGGGGCCCTGCTGGGGGTCTCTGGGGGGCTGGCTTCTTGGGGAGCATCATCTGAGGGCACCAGGGTGTCAGGCCCTGAGGTGGCATCATCTGGGGGCTCTGGGGCATCTGTAACAAGGGTGGCATGGCCAGAGGGTTCCGAAATGCTGACGGGGTCTGGGGTGGCGTTGCCTAAGGGCTCCAGGGGGATCTTCCGGGGGCTGAAGTCAATGCGGCAGGGGGAGCATGGGAGAGCAGTGTGGGGGAGCCCAGGGGCAATGCGGCCAGGGGGGCACTGGGTGCGAGGCACAGGAGTGTTGCCATCGTGGTCCTAGAGAACGGAGGGGAGAGGAATCAGGGCAGCCCCTCGCCCTACCCCTGTACCTCCATACCCCCACCCATTTCCTCCAGTGCCCCATACCCTGTAAACCCTATAGCTGCCCTCCAGCTCATCCCCACACCCGTATCCCATTCCCCTCCCTAAACACCCCAGTCTACTCCCCCATACCCTGAACTCCACCCAGGTGCCCCCCAGCTCCTGTACGCTCTCTCCCATCTCCCCCCCGCCACCGCACCGACCTTGAGCCGCAAGCGGCGGAGCAGCGGGGTGATGTTGGTACGCTCCGCTCCCTGCTGCAGCCGCAGCTCCTGCAGGGGCCGCCGTTGTGCCTGGGGAACGGGCACCGGGGGGTCAGCACCGGAACCACCGCACCCCCCCCCGGCACGGACCGAACGGCGCTGCGTCCAACCCTCCAACCGCCCCTAGAACCGCTACCGGGACCCCCAGCGGAGCCGTCTCTACTGTCATACCAGACACTCGGTCGGATAAAAAGCGGCTGCAAGACCGGGACCGGGACCGGGACCGGGACCGGGACCCCCGACGCCACCCCCCCCCCACGTTCCCCGCACTCACGGATTTGACGCGCGCTCCCCGCATGGCCGCACACCCGCCGCGCCGCTCCCCGCCGCCCATTTGAAAACAACGCGCGGCTCTGATTGGTCCCGCGATTGGGGCGGGGCTACGTCATTTGTGGGCGTGGTTACGTGCGACGTGGGCGTGGTTTCTCAGTGACCCCGCCCACCCCGCGCGGGAATTGCGGGCGTGCTGCGCAGCGCGGAGCTGGAAGGTTTGCGTTGAGTGCGGGGGGCTCAGCTTTGTACGTTGCCCCCAGCCCCTGCCCTCGGTGCGCAGCCCTACAGGGGACACCCACAGCATTACCGTCGGGTCTGGGTTTATTGCTCCCGTGGGAAGAGGTACAGAGGGAAGGGGGGTGTCCCTGAGTGGTGCGGGGGTCCCTCCGTGGTTCCGGGGTCCCTCCAGCGGAGGCTCAACCAGGCCACGGCCGGTTCGAGGGGGCGGCGGTGAGGTCGCAGTCGAAGTCGTCAAACGTGTCAGGGTCGGGCAGAGGCTGCTCGCTGGGGTGTGGGGCCACAGCCAAGGCCACCGGGTCCTTTTGTAGAAGCTCGGCGTCGAAAGGCAGCCCCCGGAAAAAAGGGTGGCCCTGGAAGTGGTGGAGGTAACGCAGGCGGCGAAGGGGGTTGTGGCACAGCAGCTGGCAACAGAGGGAGGACGGTGAGTGACGAGGGGGACGGCGCTGGGGACACTCAGCCCAAGGGTTGGGGTTACCTCAGCCAGCAGTCGGCTCAGCGCAGGGCTGAGCGCAGGGGGGGTCGTGTAGCTGCTCTCTTTGACACGCTCCAGCATGGCCACGTGGTCCCTTGCTGGCGGCACTGGAAACTGGGGGGGGACAAGGAGCAGGCTTAGGGGCTCCATGTGGTACCCTAAGGCCATCATCACCCCGCAGTGCTCACCTCCCCGCTGGCCAAGGCGAAGAGCAGCACACCCAGGGACCACCAGTCAGCTGCGTGGCTGTAGGGACCCCCGCTCAGCACCTCTGGGGCTGCAGGGATGAGGAGGTGAGTGGGTTGGAGGGTGTGCCTCCATCCTTCCGCCTTCATCCCCCCCTAAGCTGTCCCCTTACCCATGTACTGCAGAGTGCCACAGATGGTGTGTGCCCGCTCACCGCAGCGCAGGTGTCGGGAGAGGCCAAAGTCAGCGAGTTTGAGATGCCCTGGGGAGCAAAACAGTGCAAGAGGAGGGGCCCATGGAGGGGGTGACCCTATGGATGGGACGTTCCCATGCACAGGATGTCCTCGCACCAATGCCACCAGGCCCTCACCTCTCTCGTCCAGGAGGATGTTTTCCATCTGAAATAAAACAAGCTCTGAGGTGGGCCTCCATGTGAGGGGATGCAGAGATCCACAGTGCCTTTTTGTCCCCCCTCCCCGCTATCGCTCACCTTCACATCTCTGTGCACGATGCCCAGGTCGTGGAGGTACACTGGGGACAAGATGGAGCTGTCAGAGACTGGGTGTCCCCTCCTTACACCGTGCCGATTGCCACCCTCAGAGGGGGGCTGAGCTCCTACTCACCCAGCACCAGGACCAGCTCAGCAGCAAACAGGCGGACGGTGGCCTCGGTGAAGCACCCAGCTGCACGCCACAGTGCATGCAGGTCCCCAGTGCTGCAGTAGGTGCACACTGCCAGGATGGGTCACAGCACCCTTACCCGGAGCCACGCAGGCACCAAGGTGGGGCTGTATGGGTGGGGAGGTGGCACAAGGGCTGGGATCTTCTGGGCATCAGAGCTATGTGGGCACAGGGAGCTTGCAAGCACTGTGCCCAAGGTGATACAGGCACCAGGGATACACAGACCATGTGGCCACATGGGCACAAAGACAGCACAAGCACTGCAAATGTATGGGCAACACAAACATCGCAGGCATGTGGGCATGAAAGTAGCTTGAGAACTGTGGCTACGTGGGCATGGAGGGGGCACAACAACGTGGACGCATGGGCTCAAAAGTGGCGCACGTACTGTGACCACACGGTAATGAAGGAGGCACAAGTGGCCATGTGGGCATGAAGGTGACACAAGGATGGTTGCCCGCTTGCACTGCAAGCACATGGTCACAAAGGTGGCACAAGCACTGTGGCTACACGGGCACCGAGGTGACGCGACCCTTGGGGCTCACAGATCTGCACAAACCCTATGGGCCCAGCGGTGGCACAGAGCCACCAGAGCTGTGACAATGGCACAGTGGCCTTTTTCCCCATCGTCCCATTGCTGTCTTTGCAGTGGGTGAGGGTTGGGAGGCAGCAGCCCGGCGCCGAGTCCCTGCGGGCAGCGTGCAGAACGTGCAGGGGGGGGAAACACGTGTGCAGGCAGTGGGAACACGTGCACAGGCAGAGCAGGGGGGGGCTGGGGGGAGCCTGCGGGCAAATGGTCACTCACTGATGAAGAGGTGGCGCTGGCCCTGCCAGCTGTCCCCAAGGCCGTGGACAAACGGGTGCCTGACTTGTCTCTGGGGATACAAAACGGAGAGGGTGAGCGGCCCCTGGGATGAGGGGGATCCCTCCCTGTGCCCCCCCCAACCCCCCCTTCTCTCCCCTAACCTGGATGCTGACTTCTTCCTTGCACTGCTTAAGGGTGTCACGGCGCAGCACCTCCACTTTGGGCACGACCTGGAAGAGGGACTGTCAGGATTGGGGTGGGGGGGGGGTCCCTGGGACAGCATGGAAGCCCCAGGCCATGGGGCAGCACCCACCTTCACGGCGCAGACCTTCTCTCGCCCGCAGTCCAACACTTTTAGGATGGTACCGAAGGAGCCTTTGGCCACCAAGCCCAGGATCTGGGAGGAGGGGGGGGGACAGGAGCTGTACACGCTATGGAATGATGAGGAGTACACCCCCCCTGGGTGGGTGAGTGGCATAGGGCAGGGGGGGTGGAAATAAAGTCCTTGAGGTACACAATAGGGCACACGGAGGGACGTAGAGGATGGGGACACGAGGGATGGGGACATAGCAGTGTGGGGCACACGGGGTGCAGAGGGAACGCACAGGGGGGACCCAGACGGGAGGAGAAAGGGACTCGGTGAGACGGTCGTGGACTGCTGTAAGGATGCACGGGGACCTCGTAGGGAGGGCAGAGACCTCGCTGAAAGGCACCGACCGCACGGGGACCCGAACAGGACGCTCGGAAATCCCGGTAGGACATCAACAGAGCGGGCACAGGGCGCGAGGGGACCCGTCGGGAGGCACGCGGGACTCGCGGAGTCCCCGGTGAAGCAGAAGGATTCCCCGGTGCGCTGCATCTGTCCCCGGACGGCACCTTGAGCTGCTGCTGCCGGGCGGAGGGGCGAACGGGGAACTCCGGCAGGAAGAGCGAGACGAGCTGCGGCAGCGGCCACCCCGGGAACGGCGGCTCCTCGGCGGCCACAGCGAGTCCCGGTACCGGCACCGGCCCCTGGACCGACCCGCTCCGGCGGAGCAGCGCCCGCACCCACGACCCCACGGCTCGGCCCTACGGAACCGGGGGGGCAGCCGTCAGCGGGCCGGGGTCAGACACCGGATAGGGGGACGCGGGGACGCCGTCGGGGCCACCTCACGCACCTGGGGGGGCCCCGGGCCGGACCCGCTGCTGGCTGCTCCCATCGCGCCGCCGCCCGGCCCGGCCCCGTTAATCGCCGCCTTACATAACCTCGCCCCGCCCCGCCCCGCCCCGACCCCCCCGGCACCGGGGCTCCGTGCGGTACCCACCCCCCATCCGCGCCGGGCGGCAGGCACGGACTCCGAGCCGCCCCCATCCCAGCCCCCGGTAAGAGCTGGGGGTGCTCCCATCCATCCCCCCCACCTTCCTTCCTTCGGGGCAAATCCCAAATGAAGAGGGTTAAAGGGTCAGTGCAGCCCCAGCCCCCATAGAGCTCCAGGCAGCGGGGGTCATGCAGAGCTGGATGAGGGGGGAGCCCTTAAATGGGGTAGGAGAACCCCGTAGGATGTGCAGGGGGTGAACCTACACGGCCGAGGTGCTGCTGTGCTGAGAGCAGTGCGACGCAAGCCAGGAGGGTGAATGACAACCCCTGGGACCGAGGCTGTTCCAAATTAAAAACTCTTATTTAAACTCTCTCCTGTTCCCCTTTCTCCCAGCCTGGAGCGATCCTGCTGCTTCACCGGGCCTTGGGGCCAGCAGCCATGCAGCAGGGACCTACAGGACCTTTGGCACAGGGGGGGCTGCACCCCACAAAGCAGCCCCACAGCACGGCTGCTTCCAGGCCCCACAGCAACGGGGTTGCCCCCCGCCTCGGGCATCAGCAGCGTGGTCCCCTCACTGCTATAGGGCTGCCCCTTCGCTATGAGGAGCTCAGGGGACCCCAGTCCCTTCCCGGCCTGCCGGGTGCTGCCATCATTTGCGCCTGCCAAAGATGGACTTCTTGCTGGGGTTCTTCTCGCCCACGCTCAGCCCGATGAGCAGACGTGCCTTCTCGTCCTCCTCCTGCTGCTGGATGGTCCCATCTGATTTGTTCTCCAGCTTCCCCCGTGTCTCCGCACCCGCTGCAGGCTTCAGGCGCAGCTTCTCTTTGATCACCTGCACCAGGAGCGAGGGCTCAGCACCATAGGGCTGCACACAGCACCCTCGGCTTCACACTGGAGCAAGCCTGTCCCCATAGAGGCTTTGCCCCCATAGAGGGAAGGGGGACAGCGCCATCCCCATGTACCTGTGCCACCAAGGCTTTGCGGCTGTCCCTCTTCACCGCCATGGCAAAGTCCAGCCACGTCCAAGTATTGTTGTGGTACTCCAGGCAAGGCAGCACCAGGTTCAGGTCACCCCAGTCCACGCTGTTCTTCTCGCCCTGAGCAGGGGAAAGGGCGGTGAGGCAGAGTGGCACGCTGCCCCCCGTGCTCCCACATCCCGCTGGCCACTCACCTTGTAGCTGACACACAGTGGCACCTGCGGGATCTTGATGTAGATGAAGGAGTTGTTCATGGCCGCGCGCTCCTTCATCTTGTCGATGTCATCCACGGGATGCTGGGGACAGAGATGGGAGCAGAAGGTGAGGACAGGGGACAGAGCCAGGAAGCAGTGGGGAAGGGATAGCT